TGAGTTCAAGGCCAGCCTGGTCTACAGAGCGAGATCCAGGACAGGCACCAAAACTACACAGAGAAACCCTGTCTTGAAAAAAAACAAACAAAAAAATTGTGTGTGTGTGCATGCCAAGACACATGTGTAAAGGTCAGAAGAAGACATCTTTCAGGAGTCAGTTCTCTCCTTCTACCATAGGCGGGGATTGAACTCGGCTCTTTAGGATTGCACAGCAGATGCTTCTATGTGCTGAGCTGTCTCGCTCGCTGACCCGGCTGTCAACCCAGATCCACCTGCTCCCCGAGTGCTGTTTGTGGATGTTGTTGTTGGCTTTCGTTGTTTGTTTTTGAGACAGGCCAAAGGTCCACCTCAGCTGTCGTTCCTCACATACTCTCCAACTTGTCTTTTGAGACAGGGCCTGTCACTGCCCTGGGGCTCCCCTAATTCAGCTAAGCAGGATGGCTGGCCTGGAAGCCCCAAGGATCTGCCTGTCTCTGCCTCCTCAGTGCTGGGGTTGCCAGCACATACTACTACACCCCGACTTTTTATGTGGGCCTAGGGACTCTAACGCCATTCCTCACGCTCACACAGAGAGCACCGTACTGACTGAGTCGTCTCCACAGCCCTCACACCACGCCTCTTTTTTTAAAAAAGGGTTTTAAAACAGATTTATTGTATGTTTAAGTATATGAGTATATGTGTGTGTGTAACTGGTTGGGGGTATGTGCTAAGCGTTGGTGTCCAAGCGTCGGAGGCCTGAGGCATGGGACTCCCCTGCAGCTGGAGTTACAGGTGGTTGTGAGCCACCTGACATGGATGCTGGGAACAAACCATGGGTCCTCCGCAAGAGCAGCATGTGCTCATCAAGTGGCAGAGCCAGCTCTCCAGCCCTCTCCCCCTATCCTAAGCCCCGATGCTCCTGGGCTCCTCCATGTCTTCCTTCTCTCTCTGCCTGGTCCCTAGCGATGGTGTCACCCAGGTGTGGACACCATCTCTCTCATGACAGCCCACCTGTCGCGATGCTGGGTCCTCCCATGCTCCTTCCTCCCACCTTCAGGCCTCAGGGGTCTTCCTCATCTTCCTTCCAAGCATCCCGGCACATCCAGACTTCTTACCGGTTTCTACCTGTTAGTTCCTGGTCCCTGCAGACCCTGCTGCGGCCTTCAGCCTCACTCTGGTCCACTCTCCAGCCTAGGAGAGCTGACCCATCACCACCAGGCTTCAAACCTCCAGAGGCCACCATCTGTCCAAGGCTTCTAAATAAACTCCAGGTCCCTTCCTGGCTCGTACAGGTTTCCACAGTTTGGGTCCTGCTTACTTCACTGCCCCATCTGGCTCCGACCTCTCCTTCCCTCCCTCTGTCCCTCCCTCCCTCCTTCCCTCCCTCTATTCTTTCATTTTTTCCTTTATTTTGTGTTTGTTTGTTTGTTAGAGACAAGGTCTCACTATATAGCCCTGACTGGCCTGGAACTTAATATGTAGACCAGGCTGGCCCTGAACTCACTGTATAGACCAGGCTGGCCCTGGACTCACTAAGATCTGCAGGCCTCTGCCTCCCATGTGCCACCATGCCTGGCCCTTCTTTCCTTCCTTCTTAACTCCCCACCTCTTCCCCTTCCTCCCTCCCTCCCTCCTTCCCCCTCCCCCTCTCCTCTTTCTTTCTCTTTTAAAAGGGGGTTTCATGTAACTCCGGTTGGCCTCAAACTTGACATATAACCAAGGCTGACTTTGAACTTCTGATCCTCCTGCCTCCACATTTCTAGTGCTGGAACTATAGGTATTTATCACCAGGCATGACTCTTCAGCTCACTTACCCTCGTGAATCTTGGGATGGCGTGTGTGTGTGTGTGTGTGTGTGTGTGTGTGTGTGTGTGTGTACACGATATGCACACACATATGTGGGTGTGCATGCCATTTTCACACCTGTGGAGCCCAGAGGAGGAGGTCAGATGTCCAGCTCTGTCACTCCCTGCCCTGTTCCCTGGAGACAGGGTCTCTCTGTGATGCTGAAGGTAGGCTGGCAGCCAGCAAGCCCAGCCATCCTCCTGTCTCTGTCTTCCCACACTTCCGGTGTCGCTGGCAGACATGGCCACGCCTGGCTTTTCACACAGGTGCTGGAGATTCCAATTCAGGTCCTCGTGCAGCAAGTGCCCTGGCCATCATACCATCTGCCCATGGCGGAAGGACTTCCCACATGCCTCCTGCTCTTCTGCGGGTGCTGCTTCCTCCTCCTCTCCCTCCTCCTCTCCTCCTCTCCCTCCTCTCC